ACAAGGTGATTTTGCAACATGACAACGCTAAGCTCCACCTGGCTGTAACACTCAAAAACCACCAGAAAGCGCTGAAATGGGTGGTCTTACCCCACTCGCCGTATTCTCCACACTTTCTTCCTTCCGACTACCAACTTTCTCGACGGGTACAAAGCGTTTTGGGAGGTCACCGTTTTGGATCTTTTGAAGAAAGCGAAGAATGTCTCAATAATTGGACCGAGGATAGAGTTGGTAAGCGCAAATCACCAGAGAGATGGGAAAAAGTAGCCGCTTCCTATGTACAAGGCTTGGAATGATGTGTTTTTACTTTTTTCACGCAAAAAAAACGAACCGAAATAATTTTTACTTCCAATAGAAAATTACTTTTTTTAAATCTGTCCTCATCTTGGGGTATATAAGATCACCTCAGTAATCAACATTATATGTTAATGCCATCACGCTCAAGCTTGGTAAAATATTTATTTAATTTTTAGATATAAAAAGCAGAGCTTTTTAAGAAATATTTTTGCAAAAACGAGTTCCCACGTCTTCTTCTCTACTAGCGTAGGGTTTAATAGCGAAGCTAACAACAGCGCGTCAGTTGTTTCTTCTTTTGGTCATTCAGAGCCAGTTGGAGCCACCAAATGCAGCAAGAACACCTACCACCTAGTCGTTCTCTGCTTACACCGGTGGATATTGAATTGAGGCTGGATTGTTGTTATCCATCTCGACCACATGATTTAGTCAGCTTAGCCCCAGTCATGAACCGGCATTGACTCATCTGACTGCATGCAGAGTGAAAAAGGGCTCGTGTCGTTTGGTTGCGAGAAATGTTTGAAAAAAAAAACGTTGCTTCATAACATCGCAACAGGTGATGAATCGTGATTTACGCATGTGAACCCGAAAGTGTATAGCACTCGACTGTATGGTTGCTTAAAGATGAGCCAAATTCAGCAGAAGTTCTTCACGCACCAAGTGCTTCCAAAGAAGTTGTTAGCGGTTGAGAGAGTTTTTTTTAGAAAAGCTGTACATATCGTACCACTGGAACAACCCAATATGAGCTCTCACCCATCGACCGCAAAAATTTAATATTTGAGTACTCAAAACATCGATTTGACGAATCATCCACCACGAGGGCATCAAGTGCCTTCTTTGCATTTCCGTAGGTGAAAAATAAACTGAGAGATCAACATTTTTCGACAACCGAGGAGGTATTTTAGAGATACTTCAAACCGAGTGGCTAAAAGTGCTTCGACAATTGATTCAAAGGCTTGTAAAGTGAAGAGAATGTCTAGTTTGCAAAACAATAAAGCGATTTTCGATTATTAATATTTGTTATTGTTCTCCGATCTCGAAATGTAAAAAGCAACCTTCGTGACAGCTTTATGATCCCGCTTCCTAGAATGTATGCGCCCTTAAAATTTTACCAACGCCTTGTTCCAGTCGTGGTAAAATGCGTGCTACCGTTAGAAATGCCATGCCATTTTCTTCTATAGAAACTTAGATCTTTTCAGTTTTTACTGTAAAAGTAAGTTCGATTAAAAGTCAGTGTAGATTGAGTCGTTCAGTCAGGAATCTAGTAGAGAATAGGGGAGGGCCATATACCTAGGTGTAGTAAACAACCTACTTCCCCGAGTGGCACAGTCATTCCAGCAGTCACCTGACGAGCCAACCCCCCAACGCAGAGAGTGACTAAAAAATATTATTGGTCATGCTCTTTCTATAATTAATATTTGATACATATATACATACATATATGTATAGCTACTTCAGCACTTTGCAACGGAATGCCATAAATCAATCACTCCACTCGTAAAGCCATTATAAACCATGCAATGTCGGTCAATAATAAAATTGAACACTCGAACATTTAATAATCACTTAAACGGAGAATGAGTAATGCGAAGAATAAAAACCCCATGCAACACACACACGAAAATGAAATAAATACGAAAACAGGAAAACTGACCTAGACACTATCAAATATTTTCGTAGGTTAACTGTAAATAGCGTAGAGAGGTAATAAAATATGGAAGCCGGTAAAAAGTGACCACGCGACACACAGACAGTCAACCAACGGAAACCGGCTCAGTCGCAGTCGTCCGATACTCACTTGTTTACCCGCTCACTTGCACTTTAGCGCCGGGTACAAGCTTGATTGCGCATTTGATGAGCGCTTGGACGGACGGTCGGTTGGATGATTGGATGGTTGGATGGTTGGACGGCACTATTGACTGTTGCCGTTGATATGTCTGTCGATCGTCAAACGCGCCGGCGTTGCTTTGTTGTTACGCTTAAATGCGCAAATCGCATCAAGCAAATAATGGAATCTTTTTGCTGTGTTGATTTTATTATTAATTGAAATACTTTGTTGCTGTTGTTGTTGCTGTTGCTTTTCACGGTCGCCGTTGAGTGTAAAAAAATTTGCTCTAAAATGTCAAAATCACTTAATTTATGTTATAGCTACCGCATTACTGCGCTGCCGCTTGTGTGTGTGTGTGTGTTGGCTCGAGGCAATAACCAGTCCATTGTGGACTTATTGGCTTAGTGAGGCAACTGCAGGGGTTGGCAGCAGACTCACCATTTCTCTGGTGGGTTGGAGGATTGCGAAAATGCGTACTTACTTGTGCAGAAAGTTGTTTCGTGTGTTTTCGTTTTGAAAAGTGAAATTCGTCGGTTTCATTGGCAATTTTTTTTCTTTGTTTTTCATTACAACATGTTTTCTCGTTAGCTTTTTTCTCTTTCTTATTCCGGTTTTTCATTTGCATTCTCAGTTTTTAAGTGCTCCATATAAATTTTAATTTGTAAAGGGTTATACATTTTGCGGTTTCGAAAATGGACCTAAATAAAATGCATTTAAAATAATTTTTTCATGAAATTCTTTCTTTTATTATAAAGTTTAAGCTTTGTTGTTGTGTGTTCGGAAACACTGACCGCCTAACGAGTTTTTGCAAACTTCGATCAGTTCGAGATATGTAATTCTCGACCACTCTATAACACAATCCGGTCGGCATCTCAGACGAATGTTGGTTTTCAATTGGTCAAGACTCAAAGGCTTATCCGCCTAAACACGAACTTTCGCGTAACCAACACAAAGAAAAGTCCAACGGCGACAAACAGAAAGATCTCGATGGCCAAACGACATCGCCAGAATGAGAGACTACGCGGGCGGCCGAAATTTCTCTCGCTATAAAGCCATATTCCAGGTTGAAAGAGTTTACAGTTTGGGTGGAATTGCCTCCCTTCAATTACCTGCGGATTCCCGAAGCCCCAAGTGGGAAAATTTTACTTATTTACGTATCAACCGAGTGAGAAATGTGGCTCATTGCTAAAGAAAATTTGGTCCGAAAAATTGACGTCCACTGCATTGCAAAACACGTCATGAAGTGCCGTGATAAAGTTCCAGTTTCTAAGAAAATAAGAATAAAAATATCTCAAAGCAAGCGGGACGTTTACATTATCAGTCAGAGATTAGTCTTCCTCTAAATTATTCGAATGTCAGTGCTCTAATCCACGCTTTAGTTTGAGGGAATTATAGTTGTTGGGGTGTCGTCAAACTTAGCCACAGCAGACGTAGTGATCTGCAAACGATCAACACTAGCGACTGGCCGGGATATCGTCAAGCACCTGGGGAAAGAAAAAGCAGTTTTATACTATGCTAAAACGATCCGAACGCCGGGAACTAGCGAGCCGCAGATTAAGAACGCACAAGCATGTCAGGTAACCACCCGTAAGACAGTGACACGTAACCTCCTGATGCCATCGGAGCCACACTTGTGCAATGAAAAATCCTTGCTACGGGTTAGGGAGCGAAGCTTACACTGTATTACAATAGTAATATATGCAGACATTAACTTGAGGTTGAACCGCCACCTAGGCACATCAGGAAGGGAGCTCTAGATTAGCACTAGAGTAATACACTATACAGACTTCACTAAGCGCTATAGGTATCAGCTGTTCGGTATGGCGTACCGACAGGTTTTAAGCGCCTTTCACCGAGAGCTCGCCAGCACCTTCACGAACTCTCGTCTAGTGAATGGCGTTCTAAGAACACAAGCACCACCTGTTGCCAACGAAGAGCTCGTGCTGCTCCGAGACGCCAGAACAATAATCGCACATTCAAGTATGTACCTATCCTCCATGAAATGGGACCACGCATGACGCTAACCACATCTTGCTCCCTCAAACTAGCTCCTCTAATCCTCTTTTTCCTCTGATGCAAACCCGTCGAAACAGCTCGTTTCCTGGACCTCCCGTTAGACTAATCTCAATAAGATCAATATCCGGTCCACTTTGTGGAATTTGAAGTAAATCGACCAAGTAGTATCGAGGTCTACAGGCGGAATGAAGTCTTGCACTTCACTGAAGGTTTCATTTTCCTGATCGCGTTGCATGTTTAACCCGAGTTCTGCTCCCAGTTAGGGGACTGTACCCAAATATCTTCGCTTGAAAATTTATGTCCTCGATGACGTCAAAGGCTCTTTTTCCTCTTCTTTGGTATCGTATAATAGTGCTACAGATGCTAGTATGGGTCAAACCTTTTGTTTTTAAATCCAATACAACATTTGAGGTTAAAGCCCTCATTTCGTCCCAATAGTTCTTCTTTAAGTAATCCACGGCAGCCTGACTCGGAGCGCTTTGCTAACCCTCCTCGAAGTGAGGAGTTTTCCGGGTCTAAAGTGATTCCTTAACTCTCAGATGAACCTGCGGTGATTTCAATGGATCGCTCTAATATCTTAGGACCTCCCTAGAACCGGCCTGCCATCTTTACAAGCTGTGCTGCCCCACATAATATGAAGGGAGTTAACATCAGCCCTCCCGAGGGTGGAAAAGTTGAGATGTTGAACAACAGGTGGAGAGAAAGGCAACACCACTGTGGCATATGTACCTTGACGACAGATTTGATAAAACGGAGAAATAGTAGTGTTTTTCCAGACAGACTGTTTTTTGTATTTTTTTCCTTCAAACTGTTTCCCGTTATTAATTTATTTGTATTTTTGGTTTTTATATTCCTTTTTCAGATGCGCAAACAAACACTCGCACACATTGCCTGCGTGTACGTCTTCATTGTGATCGCTGCAGCAACGCTCTTGCCAATCGTTTTGGGTATACAGCAACAACACTTCCCCGCGGACTATCTGGTGCCACCACCCTTACCCACGCCCCAACATTTGAGGCATCAAAATGCGCCAACACACCAAACAGCCGAAACAGTGGCGGCAACTAGTCAAACATCCATCAACGCCGCCGAACAGCCTGGTTTTATGTCACGTGTTGCACGTTGGTTTGGCCTCGGCGCAGCGGACCAAAATCAAGTCGCATCCGATGGAAAGCAAGCCTATAACTACGCGCAACCGTTGGGCGCGGACGGTAAACCTTGTAACCAATGCAATAAGTATCCCTGGGTACCGATGTTCCCACACGCACTGCAGTATCCGCCAGCCGCCGCGGTAGGCAACCAAAACATTCATCAGTCATCTGCCGTGCCCCAGCATCAGTCCAATCAACATTACGAGGCACAAGCATCACAGAAATTCGTACAGCAACAACCGCTACCATTTGTTGTGGGGAAAGCCCAATTGCCTATCAAGCAGCGCGCAGTGCAATTCAATTTTCCCACAATTTATCAGACAGTGCCCGGTTCCTATAAAGCCGTACCCGGTGTGGCAAAAGCGCCTATAGCGCCACCACCATTCCTACCGCTTCATATACCAAAACTCAATTTGAATGCGCTGCCGCCCATTTATAATGCGCAACCCTTCCGCGTGCCGTACTTAACGCCAGCGACCTCCACCACTACAACAACTACGCCCACAGAGTCCAGTTTGGGTAGTGTACAACAGTTGCCTACCACCGAGCCCGCGCACTTTGCCGAAAATATAGGCGCGCACTCGGAGTTACAGGCAGACCGCGTCCGACCAGCGCAAACACACTCGACACCCGCACGAAATCCCGATCCGAGTTTTGAGATTGTTAAGAGCCATCAGATCACTGATTTCGTCTCATCCGTTGAGTATCCGATCACATTCGAACAATCGCCTTCCATAGACTTGGGCCAAGAACACATCCCGGCGATTCAAGAAACGCCCAAAGAGACTGTCGCTACTGTGCCATACCAGCATGAGACGTTGAGTCCGAATCTACATAAACACTTGCCCGCCTCGCAAATACTCACCGACCTAGGCAGTTTTTCGGGCAAACAGCAGACAAAGACGCAAAATCAGCAGACGCAACAGGCACAGTCTTATCCGAATGCACAGACGCAGTGGCAAACGCAAAGTCAGACACAACCACATCCGGCACCGCAGCACCAGTCTGCGTCCTACCACACAGCAACGCAACAACAACAACAGCAATACACACAAGCTACTCAATCTCAGTCACAGTCTGGGTACACACAGTTTCATCAGAGTAACGAACCATCTACTACCTTCTACACAACCCCATACCAGCCGCAAACCCAATATCCCCAACACAATTATACGCCTCCGGGGACGACCTACGAGCCGCAAGGCGGAGACAATTTTCCCTCAGCTTCGTCGCACAATCTCACACAATTGCAAGGTCAGCAACAAAACTTGAACTACAAGCCTTGGCTGCCACTGACACAAACCTTTGTCTACACAACCACTGAACCGCCACGAGAGCTCGAGTTTTCGACACAATTAACTCAACTCGGCGATGTCGATTATTTGACGGAGCGCGCGCCGGGCACCACAAAAGTACAATATTCACCTTCGGTACAAACGTTTGCGCCACACAGGCCGGAGCAAGTGAAACACGATTCTCGTGACACACCGAAAAGATTACTAGATTCACCCATACTACATGCACATGGCTTTCCCAATCAACCACGTCCATTTACACGTGATCCTAGTGAGTTGAATCTACGTCGACCGGCGGCAAACTTTGTAACCGCAGATATTTATCCAAATCACAAGCAAAACTCCGTTGAGCCATCTTACTCCACGGCGCCATGGTTAGTAACGCCCCTTCCGCCGTTACCAGCGTTCACTAACGCACCCGCAGATCCAACACCGACCTCGACTTACAGCGCGCTCGATGCCAGCGGTCAATATGCCGGCATGTCGCCACCAAATCCACCCGCACCGGCGCGCCACAAAGACGTTCATCAAATCATCATACCATATACAACAAAAAACCAGCCACGTCCATTCGAACCAACTCGGTCGGTGACTGAAGGTAATCAGCATGTGCAGTTCAGCAACGCTGCCTACCACAAGTGGTCCGCGCAACAGAATAGCGTCGATATACATGAGCAGCAAGAGTCAAAGTTGGTGACGGCAAAATTGGCTACAGAAACACCACCCACACCACACGAGCCACCGCGTCGCACCACGAAATATGTTACGAAAATACTTGCCTCAAATTTGCGTGATCTACTGCGTCGCGAGCATGACGTCAGAAAACACAAGTCGAATTCTTCGTCTGGCTTTGACCTCTCCAAGCTACAGAAGAATATCGACGACTGGACGGAGCAGGAGTATACCTCGCTGTCGCACCGTCCTAGCACGCCGACTATACGCGGTCGTTCCAAACACATACCAGCCGAATATCTTACCACCACAACGCCATCATCAGCTCGCCGTCCGAAAACCACTCTAAGTCTTTATGATCCCTCATCGGAGTTACCCGCATCGGTAAATGACTTACAATCGCTGCTGTTGGAACGTGGCTCGAAACGATTTGAATTGAATCAAATCAACGATGAGATTGATAATCGTTTGCTGGACACAATAGAGAGTGAGACAGCAACTGTATCGTCTACAGCTACAACAAAACACACAACAACAACGCAGCATTCGACACACAACAATGGTCATGCAGCACCAAGTTTCATGCATCGCAGTGCCGATTCTTATCAGCCCGAGCCCGAGCCCGAGCCAGCTGAACTTTGGCGCAAAGCTAAAGTATCGATTTCACCACAAACTCATGAGAAGGTCTATGTGGTGACGCCACAGCCGAGGTTCTTTCCACAACGTATGTTAAGCACAACGAGCACGAGCACAGAAGTGCCGATCAGTTTGAGGAAATCACCACGCTTTGTGGTGAGACCAACGCCAGGGAATGGTAAGTAGCTAAATACAGTCGTTTCTATCTCACAGCACTCTGGTACCCCATGAATATGTAAGTTGAACACATTAGCTATCCTTGTAGAGTAGAGCTTATTTAAACCTCTGCCGTACTTGGGTTTGGTGTCCGGATGCATCGAACTCACGAAATATTTACTCTTTAATAACAAAACCCTGCCGAAGTCCGAGCCGCATGAGCAGGACAGTAAATTTTCTGAAATCTCCGGTCTCCATTAGTACCAGTGTAAGAGCTCTTTGGAGCACATTGTAACCACAACTGTTACCAGTATGGTCTCCATACATAGTTTGACTGGAACCTCTTGGGTTGAAGAGGTTGCACTTGCTCAACGTGAGCCTAAACCATTTAGTATTTCGTTTCAGGAGAAACACTTGGCCGAGCTCGCAATATGTAGAAATTATTTTCTTTTTCGTTTTTTTTTGTATTCAGTGCTGCTTCGGGGTACCAAACGAATTCATTCAGTATTTTTTAATCTTCTCTATCACCTTTAAAAACTGGAACAAAAGATACAAAGCTCAGCTTGAGGCCTATCTTCTCTGCATTATATTGTAGAATGGGCGAAATGAGCAACTTATGAGGCTTCGTCATTGTTCCTCAGAGGAGGGGTCCTCCTTTTTTATATATATACATAATATATGGGTCTCCCCTAGGCGCACTGCCCCTTAATTGTGGATGTACGGAATCTTTGGAATCTCAAACGGGGTATCATACCCATATACCATAGTTTATTCGCGCTTTATGTAGAAGAGGGCAGAGAAAACCCTCCTTTGGATTGGTTAGAAGATCTTGAGATCGGAGAGTAGGTCGAAAGGTTCAATTATATGCTCCTAAATAGTAAGATTAACTAAGGTTCAACAAATCCAATGGGCTTACGAGGGCATTTGGTGCTCGGTGAAGGAACAAAAATCAGCGAATCTTTCTTTGTTAATTTAATTTTCAAGCAATCTTTAGAGGAACCTCCACGCATTAGAAAAATTCCATATTTGAAAGAGTGATAGTAGCGGTACCCTTAACGCCCACTAGACTGGAAGGTTATGGTCTCACGGAGTGAAATTGTAAAGAGTACACAAAGATCGCTCATTAATCAAGTCGATCGAGTTGAGTTTCCTTATCTGAAATTGCAAAACTTTCAACCCGATTTACTGACTTTTTTCTCATTAACTTCTCTATTTCTCTTTCTTTCTAAATTTCCAGGCACCAACTCGCAAACGCCGGCGTCAAATCACTACAGCTCCGAGCTGTTCGGCCTCAGAGGTCTCTCCGCGTATGTGCCCGCGAAGCCAGTGGAGATCATCGATGGCAATTCAAAAGTAAATCGTGTGAAAATTAGAGAGTTTTGATTTAGAATAAGAAAAACAAAAAAAAAAACACGCCGAAGGCCATACTTATATTTTTTTCGTATATTTTCTTCTCTATCTTTCTTCGTATACTCAATTCATAACAACACAAATTACACCTTGTCATAATCTAAAATAAACATCAACAATCGATAACAAAAATATATAAATATCGATATTCATTTCCATCTATAAACACCTCTCTCATATACATATACATACCAACCAAATAAACATACACATAGGTCTTCAACATCGCTACATCAGCGCCAGATAACCAAGTGGACTACACCGCAACCAAACCGGCGGATTCTGTGGAAAAGGCAGCGCTGGCGAAGAAGGGCAGAAGACTGAGATCGACAATGTCACCATCGCCCAGGTAAATTTCGGCAGGCAAATCTGGATTTTTGGTCTTCGAATGCCAAGGCATGCGTCAGCCGACAGACTTCGTAGGCACTTCCACATATGTGTACTCGCATATCGACTTATCGATAAGTGTGGGCTGTAGTCTGTAGTCTATAACTTTTGTATTATAAATTTTCAAACGATATTTTATGTATGTACGTATGTCACTACCACTCTCTAGCAATAATTAATGATTACGCAATTTTAAGTTATGCTGTAAATGAAAATAAAATTTAATTAAGAATATTTTATATTCCAAAAGTATGGTATATAAATCGAAAAAAAAAAATCTGTATCGTGAGCTTAAGTGTAATTCCATGAAAAGTAGCAGTAAATTTAAAAATTGTTTTAATTTTTTTTTATTTAATTATTATTATTTTTCAACGCAAATATTATTCCACTCAAATTTTTATTTCATTTTTAATATATAATAGCTTTAAATATAAACTAATTGTTAGCGCAAAATACACGTAATTATATTAGAATGATACGAATAAATAAATTAAATTAAATATGAAAAAAATATACGTTATTTTTTATTTAATTCCAAAAGATGTTTTTCGACTTCTGGGTTTCAAGAAGATTTAAAGGGTTTTCCAATAAGAGGCGTTAGTTTGAATCGCCCGCTTTTCCGGTAGATGTCACTTTCGAAACTGTCATTTTTTGACATTTGACCAGTCATCGTGAAGCGCCTTGTTGGACCGCAATACAGAAATTGTTGGGAAAAATGGAGCTGCTGAAGATTGAAACTTGTACTCACCACTCAAGAACAACTGATAAAATTGCTGCTCTTCTTTAGAATTGGCCATTTCGAAAATGTCTTTTTCACTTTTTATGCATAAAGAGTGGGGCCTTATGGCTTATGAAGCTCAGTTATGACGTAGTGCCTTTGCTGATTGGATCCTTGAAATTCGTAAAAATTATCCGGAATTTTATTTCAAAATCATCTTGGCTGCAGCAATAAGCAAAACTGTCATATCTAGGGCTCGGAAAATCCAAATTACATTTTTAAAAAGTATCTTAACGTGCAAATTTCTGGTATGGCTTTTGGTCCGAAACTCAGTGAAACTTACTTTTTCCAAAATGAATAAATCGCGCTATCGAAACATTTTATGGCAGGAATTTGATCGTATTGATCTGGACAACTGTTACTTTCAACAAGACGGCGCTACGTGTCAATATGAAAGAAATGAAACCTTCAATCTTTTAGGAGAAAAGTTTCCGGACCGTGTTATTTCTCGAAGAGATGATCGCAACTGGCCACCTAGTCCTTATGGTTTAACGCCTTGAGACTTCTGCCGTTGAAGCCACATGAAAGGTAAGGTCTACACCAACAGGCCAAAGACGGATTTCGTTAAGATATTGCGGGCCATACAGCAGCCACTTTGCAATTTGGTAGTTGAAAAATTCATAAAAGGGAAACGGTTTGTTAGCGTAGCCTTGGCTCCCATTGGGCTGATATTGCATTCCATTATTAATGGCACATCTCCCTCTTTACCTTGAAGTAAGACCCCTTATTGGAAATCCATGTATTATAGGCGTTATCTAGCCGAGGGGCCCAATTTAGGACCACTTCATTCATCTCTTCCTCACATATAATAGTTCAGGGGATTTGAATCGTACAATCCTGGAGTCCATGCCGCGGGCCCACGTTGCGAGATCATTCACTTACCAAAATGCTCCTTCAATAAATTGATTGCTGCGTGTGCTGGATGGCATCTGTAGAGCCTATTCTTTTTGGAACCAAAGGTGGCACCAAACTTATAGTTCCCAAATGTCTGGAACATTATGTATATGGACGGCCTTGTTTTTGAAGAAATGTAAACCAATAATTCCCATAGAGCGCACCAAGCAGTAACTCTTTGAAGATAAAGGGGCCTGTCAGCAATCACTTCAAATGCGACAATTTTATTTGTTATTGTGCCTATTAAAAAAAAATTCTTATGAAAATCTGGTTCGGTGCCCATCTGCTTTAGGTCCCATCCACCAAACGTGCGACGGGCTTGATGGTTGTTCGACTTGAATTTTTTCACGAATTGGATTTGGTAAGCCCGCAAATCTAGATCCTTCCATAAAGTGGATGGGCACAGTTCCAATTGTTGCGAGCGCTTGCGAGTTTTCTTCGAATCGACCCTGCTCCACAGCAGCAGTTATCTCTTCGGCGCGCACTGTAGGACATCTCTGAGTAAACGTAAACCGACGCTGCTGGGTGATTATATCGATCGATTATTGGTCTTAGCGCGTGAAGCGTTGGACGAGCAAAGTCATTACTTTGATAATCAATTTGCACGATTCGCAAACGTTGTGCCGGTATAAGTCTGTTCGTTATGAAATGCAAACCAAATTGAGTATTTATCAAGTAAAAACTGTTAAGTATTTGCCTCATTGAAAATCAAACGTCTATAAAAACACCCTTTATTTAAGCTCTTAGGCGGGTTACCACAATAGTGTCAAAGGACAGTTTGGATTACTAATGTCTGGCAACGTCGGAGTGTGGCAGTTACTTTTCTTGTGATATTCAAATTCAGAAAATTCAATTTAAAACTGTACTTTTTTGTTAAATATTTCAGTAAATGTCACAGTTAACTTCACATATGTATATGTATACATATGTATGTACATACGTATATAATTTAAATATTAAATAATCTATTGAAACATAAGTTTTTACGTACCTACTCATTTAAGCTAAGATTAATTTTATTAATTGTATCTGCTCGAGCATGTTTTTAATGAAAGTGACGTAAGTCAATTTTTGTAAAAAATATTAGATATACTTTTATTTAAATTAAATCCATTATTTACATATTTGATTATTAAAACGCATACAAATATTTAAAGAAAAATTTCACACAAAAGGAAAATTCCAGCAAAAGAGATAATTCGTCTTATTATTGTTGGAGTTCACATTACGCAAATTTTAATTAATTTCGGGAATTAGAATACAAACTACTTCAGTTGATTAGAACATTGCATGCATTTCTAGCAGGTTTTAGCTTGATTGCTCTCGATAACAAACATTCGATACACGTGATCTAGCTTATGATTATGCCCCTCCTTCTAAACTCACTCGCATGTGTGGCATACAAAAATTATTTTATTTTACAGTTGTTATTGTATTCTTTAACCCTACAACTATTCCATAAATCAGTAAAAAAATCGACTTAGGTCACTCTCATTTACAGCTCTTCTATTAGATTAAATTACGCTTTTATTACATTCACTATTGAATGACTAAGGAACATTTTATTATATTTATAAATTTATATTTACATAGTTACATTCACATATGCTCGGTTATATGCCATGAAACGAACAATGATTTGGCTTTGATGTGTGCACGTACACTCATACATATATTACAGAGGAAAATTCTTAAAATTATTTTTATAATAAGTTAATTTATGCTTAAATTTAATTTATATAAAAGTACATATTATCGATAACTAACTGCTCATTTAACGCCTGCCAGGCAATCAAAAGGTTTGTGTCTCTGCTCCACTCGCCTGAGCGACATCTGCCGGCAATAACGCTTGCTAGCAGTCACGTAACGCACGATCGTTTACGTTCGCTGCGTCGGCGACGACGATAACGGCGCACCAGCGCCTCTAGCGTCCAGGAAGTGGCAGCGATAAACGACATCATGTTGAGGAAATGCAGGGTGATCGAATAATTGAAACGATCGCGTATGAGCCCTGAAATCAAGTAATTTGAAAGGCAAAATGTGTAAAAAGTTAAAAAAGTAAATAAATTTAGTCAATATCAAAGCAGTTTTTTTTAGCTTTTTGTTATAGGTAGAGCAGTCGATTTTGTCAAACTCACCCACAAATGGTCCACACGCAAATGTAAAGAGACCGGATATGAGTAATTGCAGACCGGAAGCTGCTGGTAGACGCTTTAGTGGCACACAACTGGGTATAATAAGAGGCCAGAAGATCGTGCGCACACCTTTGCACATGCCAATCCACACAAAGGTGCAGAGTATCACGGTGTACGAGCGTGTGCAGGCCACAACAGTGCGACCGAGTGCGATGCCAACAACGCCTGCGAAATAAAATGTAAATAAAAAAATAATTCAATATTTTAATGTTGCTTGCGACTTAAATATTCATTTATAAACTGGAAAAAATACTAATAGACTAATATTTAATTTAGGGGCACCTAAAGATCCCCCCACCCGCTAGTCAAATCAATGTGCGGAGCTTACAAAGCTGAGTAGTCTTTGTAACTTTGCCCTTGCTATCTCGCTCAAGTCTCTAAATGTTGCCGCCCCTAGAAGCTTCCCCCTACTCAAAGTGCCTGGCATTCGCAAAGGAAGTGCTTTAAGGTTTCAGGTTGCTCTTCTTGGCTGCAACTTATGCAGAAGGCATTAGATGGTGCGCCCAACAATAGGAGTCTCATGAGATTATTTTAATCCATGCTCGCAACAGTGACATAGTCACATTATACACATTGAAACTTCTCCATCTTGAGTTAGCAGCTTTGATGAATAACTCTCCAATATTGAGCCCATAAGTGGAGAGCATGCCCCAACTCTTGCTTGTAAACCTGTCCCCCATCTTAATACCCGGTACGCTGCTGTGTTCAGGCAACTTTACTAGATTCTTAGCCATCGTGTTAAGGGATCTGAGGTAATTCTCTACGCTTTTAGATTTTACTTGACTATATTCTAGGGCTTTTAGAGCAGCCTGGTTATCCAAAAAATTATGGATATGGTTTACTGAGAGTTCCATTAAGCTAAGACGATTGACAATTTCATGTATAGATGACAGATCTGCCTGAAAAACACTACACTTATCCAAAACAGAGGACTAGTAAAGCTCATCTTAGTAAACATGGCCACTGATCCTGTTCTAGCTCTAAAAATGAATTGAGTCAACTACCGCGTAATCTATCTTTTCTGCGAGACTAGCACAAACAGTAATATGCATCCCCATATAGGGCTATAGATCCAAGAAGCCATTAAGATCCTTAGTTGGTGTGGTACGTAATGTTCCACTAATACACGTGGGGCCGTCATCAGAATTCTTCTGAATTCTTGAAAAAATCCAACGATACAACGCTTCACTATAGAGTTGAACTAAGACAAAAGAGCTAGATGTAAAACAGTACAAGACTAGCGCTTTTCTCGATGCGGAAGTGGCCTTTAAAAATAATATTTCTGAGGCCAGAAAATCTCTTGAGAAAAAAAGATCATCTTTAGAATACCGATATTACCAGATACGCCAACCAAATCTTCAGAGATCTACCTCAAAAAGTCTCATACATCCTAGAAAACAGGTGCAAAGAGAGTGGGCTGAAGTAGAATATCTCAGAATGATCTTAGATAGTAGATAGGTCAACTCCGGCTACCGGAATATCTAAGAGTTTTCCAAGCAGGCCTCTGAATGGATGCTCATATCATTTTACAGATAAAGAACTTGAAATATATATGTTTAACGATCAAGCGCGCCCTCCAAGTCATGGTGTGCGTTTCAATATTTTACCAAAAGATGGAGGGACCTACAATTTATACTGAGTCGCCACCGAACGTATAGAATTCTATGAGAAGCCCTTCTTTCATGTCAGAGATAAACTCAGAGAAGTTGGCATTGAACTACTTTAACGACGCGACGAGAGCTCAACCTATAATGAAACTATTACCGAAATAGCAATTATAAGATGGCCCACGGAGCCCTTCGGAGGTCCGAGTACTAGCTTCGAAACTGTAGGCTCCAATAGACGAACTCAAATCGTAAAGTAAGTTTGATTACAACTTCCATAAGAAGTAATGCGCCAACTATAAAATAATATTAATTCTATTTATCTCACACCCACCTTACGTCTTACCTATTAGGAAGAACACCCGATTGTCCCACGGTATTTTCTCCGTCACAAATGGCACGAAGAACCGCACGATTATATCCAATCCACCCAGCACAGACATGGCGGACGTAATTTGTGATGTGGTGAAGCCGAAATCATTTAATATGAATGGCGTTAAGATGGAAAAATTGAGTTCACCGAAATTTATGATTGTCAAGCCAATGACCAGATTGACGAATGTGAAATCTCGCAACAAATCCAAATCGAAGAATGCCACCACTTTTTGCATAAAGGTGAAACTCTTCACCGACGCAACAGCATCTTCATCCTCTTCCGCTGTCGTTTCCAATTTCTTATTCAACAGACTCGAACGAAGTTGTGCCTTCTCGAGTAGCATACGCTCCTCGGCACAAGTACAATATAATGGAGCCGTCGCACCACCATTATGTGGCGTCGTACGAAAGTTACTATTGCTAGCCGATTGTTTGAGCAAAACTTCGTCGCGTTCACGTTTGAAGTTGTTCGGTTTGTAAACCTCCGTCGTCCTCAGTTCTTCATCAGATATCACACGGTTGAGACGACTGTTAATGCCCTCGATATCCTTCGAACTGGAGACGGTGCGAAAGCGTGGTACACCCGCTCTATGCGTTGAGGCCAACGACAACTTCGAACCGAACCAACCATCGTTGGCGCGTGACAACATCGGCGTGCCAGGCTCAATTATTTCATACCCAGGCATAGCTTCGTCATCGTCCTGATATAGATATTGACTGGAAAAGATGCCGTTGCGTTTGCATTGCAGTTGACAATATTCACAGAGATATTCCGCTTCACCAGCTGCAATGCCCGAATCGCCTGCGGCTTCAGGTATCTCGGGTGGTGGTGCGTGATAGCGCACCGGTTGATAGATGAGTGCGCAAACTAGTGAGTGCAGTGAGAGTGCAGCGAATATGAAGACAGTGCCCTGTACGCCATAATAGGAGACAAACAATGTGACTACATGCGGCAGGAATATTGGGCCCAAACCGGTGAGTGTCCATGAAAAGCCAGCGGCGCGTCGACGCTTGTTCTTGAAGTATGTATTGATGGCAAGCGAGGAGGCAGAAACGCTGATGCCCACACCGAAACCTGGAAGTTGAAGATACATTTTTTTTAGTAAACATACGGTATGTATATATGGATGTAGGGGCTTACCGAAAAGAAGCGCATAAGTTATCATATAACCCACAAAGGATTCACAAAAGGCTGTCAGCATTAGGCCAGTGAAGATGAAAAACGAACCCGCCATGGCGACTTGGCGGAATGTGAAGCGACGAAACATTGGTCCATTTAGCAGACCTAAAAAAATATTTTTACGCGGAAATTAAAATTGACTCAGAAAGGATTTCTTGCTTCGAAGTTTTGCACTTTTTAATATCATTAATTTTTTTTGTTAAGAATTTTTGCGGAAGTCTAAATCGAAAATCATTGGTTCTACTCAAAGCTTGACTTCAGAGGTAATCCCATTTTCTCCCTAGTGCAAAGTGCGGGGATCTAGGCATGGATAATGTACAATAATATCTCGCCCTGATCACCCTGGATCAAGCGCTTCCGTCTCCATTGGGTGGCTTAAAGTCAGGAGCATAAAATTTTACTCAAATGGAACTTGCCAAACTTCGGATCTCCTCAGGAGTATTGTCAAACTGTTTCGGTATGAGAGTTATTCATAGTTAGCCGCCTATTTCTGCTAGATTATTTTCTAACCCCCTTGAGTCTCTGCGCCGGTCGTTGGTCTCGGCACCGCAAAGTTTTTTAAATTCCCAGAAGCCATTCCGAAGCAGCCGGTACGGCCGGTATTGCCTACACACCCTTTAATTTTGGGTAAGCAAGCTCCGCATGACAAAAAAAGCATCTCCCCGGGAGGAAAAAGGTATAGAGTAGTCATTAGGCGTGAACAAAAAATAGCCCTCCGAAAGGTGGGCTAAGTTCACCCCTTTTATGGTAGTTTCTCGTCAACACATTACTTCGAACTTAGAAGCATTGGTTTATTGTTTTGGCAGATGCTAATGCTTTTAAGCCGTCCTTATTACTCGAAGCTCACCTAGAACCGGAACACGGTAGAGAAAGTAGGCGGAAAGCTTTACAGAGGTTTTGTTTGACGAAAGCCCTTGAAATTCTTCACAATCCCAGGGGTTATTGTGGGAGGGTTATCCGTTAGTGGTCAATCTTCTGAACGTTAAATGTATCCACGATATCAACTAAGAGTGAGACCATCTTGACTACTGCAAATTCGGCACATTAAGCATAAAGCGTTCCTCGACAAAGTTCTTTCAAAAGTTACCCTTGACCTATAAGGCGATGTTACCCGACAAAAAATAAAGTTTTTCGTCGAGAAGAACAGATAAAATCCTAAGATAAATATATCTCTTAGAACATTAAAGATCTGTTTGCTTTCTGAACTCTTTCTTGTGTTCATCTGCCCCAAGGGTTCCCAGTTAAAGCTGAAGAAAAATTGTTGGTCCTCTGTTTCTACTTTTCATTCCTAGGCGCACGTTTTCGACATTGGAAGAATAATATATTTTTCTACTGATACCAACACAATTCTTTTTTCCGGCATATTTCGTCGATTACGACCAAATCCCATGTTTGCAAGGTGGGCGCATCTCTGATATTAGCAGCAACGATAAAGTCATTCCAGCCATTTAGATCTCCAGGACGCTTGGTATATTCCTCGACATTGAAAGAGTGCTCAAAGACTTTCTTCCTGCATTTGTAATAGAGGCTCTTCGGGAATTGGGTCTTCAACAGCCCATTGGGAATGTTATAGGGTCTCTTCTGAGAAACAGAATTAGGATCATCTTCGCACAGACGGGCAGCGCCAGCATTTTATCGCCACTGCTGTGGTCTGTAAACACGCTGATTAGGAAAACACACAGCTCAGGCTGTGGTGTGGTGGCATACGCTGACGACTTTGTTAAGAACTGGTGCAAGGACAGTGGACTGGTCGTCCTGGTAATAGAAGCACTTCCATCAACTCCCTTGAAAGATTTTTTAGCTCTTCTGAAAATCCTTCCATTGGACTACAAGCGGGCTGCAATGCAATCAGACCTAATGCGGCTCAACGTTGGAAGAATCGCAGTATGGGACACACCAAAATTGTATCTCTTGCAGAAGTGCCGACGGAGCTGAACTACCCCACCTCCTGTATGTGCTTCGAAAATCTTCGTCTCCACGAGAGTCCCAAACAGGTGCGAGTGGGTAACTACCAACGCCACCGACATCTTCACAGACGGCTCGAAGCTTGATGGAAAAGTGTTCTAATTGAAAATGAGCATGAGGTAACCAGACGACTGCGACATGTCCCAGACGGAACTCTTTGCATTGGTGAATGCCGGTGAGTGATTGCATAGATCTACGGCAGCCAAGCTTCAATGTAATGGTACACGTCAAATGTGACCATAAAATATAGAAACTTTCTCAACTATATGTCAAGTACTTTCGTCGCCTAGGACACAGGGACATACCAGGCAATTGCATGGCGGACGAACCAGCAAGGGAAGGAACCCTTCCACCCATAATAAAACATGCACACAAATGCTGGTTTACCTCTGTCCACGGCAAGGCATATGCTTAAACTGGCCTTTACCAGGGAAGTTGACTCAAGATGGTTGAACAAGATCGCGTGTGACATGACCAAACAGCTATGGCCGAAGCTGGATGGTTCTCCTTTAGCCAAACGGCGGGCATAACAACTGGACACTGTTTAGTGGGCTTCACGGGATTAGGATGGGATTTTACTCTAATGATTTTTGCCGCAGCTGCAGGGACGAAGAAGAGGAGGAGACCATCGAGCACTAGCTCTGCCACTGTCCAGCCTTGACAACCTTGGGAAACATTTCTACGACTATATTGCTGAGTTGGCCTAAGCGAATATTGAAAGGCTCGTTGCCTTTGTAAGGTACGCGAAATGTTTTGATCATCTTAGAAGGTGAAGGCAGGGGCCTCAGCGGTGGCACAACGGGCCTATTGGCCTGCAGCCGCATCAACTCCACTCAACTCAATACAATTCTTGACACTTGGATTATTTACCATTATTATTTATATATAGTACATTCCTACATATGTATGTATGTATGTATATATGTATATATATTCATTCAATTTACCTGTACACGCTGACACAGCTGGATTTGTATTGATAATTGTGGTGATTTGTGAACTGGTTAAGCCTAAAACACTCAAACGTTCACGGAATATGAAACCAAATTGCTGCAGGCATGGATAGATCGAAAGCTAGAAGAATAATGGAATAATAAAAAAATAATGAAAATAATTATAAAATAAATTTGAGTTTTAACAACCACCAATAACTAAAGCTTAATGTACACGCACTCACGTTCGAACAACCCGCTGCAATGCACACCAACCAAGCCCAACCGCCATCTGGTGCTTTGAAATTCTCACCCAGATCACTTTTGTCGCGACGCACTTTCTTTGGCTTCGCCGTTGGTGATGTTGGTGACTTTGCTTTTGCCGTTTTATTACTGTTATCTAAGCCATTGTTGCTATCACTGGAAGTGGGTAGTGTGGTCTGGCAGTAGACTTGACTTGTTTTCAAAGTGTCGCATGCCGTTGACTTACTCATTATACATTGATGTTTATGGGCAAATGCTAAAATTAGAGAAAGAAAAGAAATAGAACAATCTTTTTTATGATTCAATAGAAATGCAAAGGATTGCGTGTCAATCATTAAGTCTTAGTAAATTTACTCACGAGCGATAAAAGTGGAATACAAATTAGAATCTATTGTACATACCCTATATATGTATGTATATAATATAATAGTGTAAATAGAAATAAGTTCTTATATATGTAGGTCAACTCTTTGTGACACAAAAATATGTAATTTAACCGTAGAATAATCAACTTAAGCCTGGGTGAGAGTAAAAAGTCTAGTAAGCTGCCGACTCTTTACAAGCAGATGTGAGATCGCTGCGTAGAGACCGCTTAGGCTCAATAAATAAGGAAATGAATAAGGAAATTCCAATTGCCTGGAAGTAATCATGGAGTGAGCGCTGGTGCGGAAGCTCAATGTGAGGAAGAGTATGAACGAGGACAGTAGTTCTCTTTACCTATGTGCATTAAGACCAGAAAGTTTCCGGAAATTACCATATGAACTGCCTACGCTTAATATTTTTCAGCACATTTGCTTGTTTAGTTGGTAGCACTTTTCTTAATTACTATGCCCAAAATGGGCGCGATCTGTCAATTAGTTTGTTTGCAGTAGCTGTTGAAATCAGCCGACTTCAGTTCCCACTGCGAATTTTCCTTAACACCCTCAATCGAGTCGAAACGGGTTCCATGGAGTGGTAACTTGAGTTTAGGAAGCAAAAAAATCTCATGGAAACCGTATTTGACGGTGAATACGGCGGATAATCGTTGGTATTGAACGAATTTTTGGTCTTAAAATCGTTCACAACTACAGTTTGGTGCGATGGCGCATTTTCGACATGAAAGTTTGCGGAAATTGTTGGCCCACAACTCCGGCCGTTTACGCCGGGACGGATGTTGTCGCGCAAACGCCTCAAAACGCTAAAATAATAAATACTCTCTGTTGACTGTCTCTCCCGTTGGAACGAGTTCATGATGAACCAAACCGCGAATATCGAGAAAAACGATAGCCGGAAATTTTCTACTTCCAATTGTGGAATATCGCCTGAACTCATCATGGATCACCGCCAGCAAAACCTCATGAATATATGAAACTATTTGAGCGAATCCAAAGGCTCGCTGTACTCTGCATAACAGGGGCGCTAAGGATTCTTCCAAAGGCTATTATTTAACCTACCAATCGAATAAGTGTCGGAAATGGCTGATGAAGCCTGCTCGGTGTATATTGTGTTGAGCTACATCTGAGATATCCCTTCATGCTTCTAGAGTGCCGCAATAATTTCCAGGAGGAGGTCTTTGTGGCCAAGAAAGCTGCATGAGATAGCTAAAATGGGAGGAAGTCACATCAACATCATATCGCATGGCGACAGAAAGTAATCTTAGAAGCAAGGCCTTGTTGGTAAAAAATAGTTAATGACATTACCAAAAGTGTCATCCGCCTGGCTACCTAACCCGGATATCAGTATATTCAATACGAAAGTCCCAAAAGATGTTGTTGCGTGGAATTTCCGAGCGAGCTGGAAGGCGGATGATGGGGAGATGAAACGCGCAACTTTTTCTCTAAATCTATCTGTCGGGCCTTAGCTATATTTTGCCTTACTGCCAACCCTAAATTGGTGCATTAAGCGCTAAACAACGGTCAAAAATCCTCATGGCCATACAATAACGCGGCGTCAACGTTGAGCAAATGAAGGATCAAAGTGCGAAAGTAAAAAAAAAAAACGGACGAAGAGGTGTACATAGGTAAATGGAAGAAAGACTTGATAAATAAATAGTAGTATGATAAATATTTACTGACAAATGAATTTAACTGATGGCGGCACACTTTTGTCGACCGCACTTAAATCGGTAGTATCATGTCTGCAATAAATGCAATTAATTTATAAAATATTGTTGCGAAAATGCGAGGCGAATGTCAGATGAAACAGAGAAGCCGATAACTAGTACATTCTAGAACGATAAAACGAGAACCTTCGATAGCGAACAACTCGATTATTCTACACTTTCGTCTACGAGCAGCCGACTGCTATATAAGGGGACACTCAGCTGCCAAGTCAAGTTAGTTACAAAGTGAACTCGTTGGCGATAACATCAGTAGAGTCGTAAAGTAAACGTGTTGGAGATTACATTTAAGCAAAGTAAGTTGTGAAAGTTTATGCAAGAGATTGTAGCTAGTAAAGTGCATTATAATTGAAATGTGAATTACTTAGTAAATAAAGGACATTAGCTAAATTCTTTATAACGAAAGAAACTGTAAATTAAGTTGGCGATATTTTATTTAACAATCGAGAGATCGTACCCGAAGGATTCAGAAAATTATCGAGGTTGATTCAGCAAATCGTAACAATATTTTTAAAATAATACGAACTTGAAGAGAAAGGGAAAACATCAAAACGTTAGCGCGCTTATTTTGGGATAGCGCGTGTTGCCACTCATTGGCGTTGGAAAACGCTACGCCGAACGCTCCAATTTATGTCAGTTAGACATCTTATAGCATCGCAGTTCAAAAGACTACAGCCAGTGAACTCTTAAGCTTCGCCAAAAGCGTTGACTACCTACACAATGACTACTTTTATGTATATTTATATGATTTGACCTCTCCAACCGCTGAAGCGAGAATTTTGGTCTACGTCTTGATATTTTCCCAACAAAGGAAGGGACCTGCAACTTAGAAATTTGTCTCTCTTGCCTGCCTTGCGCCGGATTTCAGATCGCTATTGCAAATAAAATTACTCAATAAATGACCTTTACAAATAATTTCGATCATTCCATTTAATTGTCATTGAGATGAAATTCTCATTAACCAAACGCTTGATTTTGAATATTTTGCTTAATGTCAGAAACCTCATTACGATGCTATGAAAATAATTAAAAATTTGCTGCTGATAAGGCAAATGCGCATAAATCAATGAATAATCATTTGAGATGTATATTGTATGTATGTATTGCATGCGCATATTGAAGAGATGAATAATAAAGGAGCAAAGTAACACATTCGCATATACAGAATTATTCGACAGAATTGAACTTGTTTTCTAATATTTCCCTATTTGCACAAACACTCAAATATTCCGCTCGATAGCGAAATGTTTATGTACATACATATGTAAATGTGTTGTTATAGAATTAGAGAATTACAATAGTTCTTATCAGCGAATTGGTGCGAAGTTTCGGCTGACGGCATAAAATTACGTCTGTTCTATAATCACATCTGAGCTAAAATATAATTTTCCATCGCTTCATATAATTAGGAATTATGAATTATGCACGTCTAAATATGTATACTGTTAGTTGTTAGTCATAGCTGAAATTTTCAATCTCCAGCTTGTCTTTTGACACGAAGAAAATGAGTTTTACCTACAAAAAATTTTATTCAATTTATTCGCACATAAGTTTTTCTTTAATAAATTTATATTTTCAGACTTTCTAGAGTTACTTGATATATATGATTATTATTTCGCTATAGCTGAGTGCCATCCAGAAAGCCAGAATTTGAGTTCTGGTCCGACTAGACTTAAAAAATAAGTTGAATTTCCAACAAGAAATAAAAGTTACTCATAAAAAACCTTCAGGTGTACGGTGGCGGCTTAGAATAAACTGTAGATCCTTCCATTTGTTGGAAAAACATACAGATGCATACCGAAAATTTAAGTTAGGCCCAGGCGAAAATCATTTCAGTGTCTTATTATTATCTTATTATTCTCAAACGCACCTTATGCGAGGGGATTAACAAAAGTTCGGTAAGCTGGCCAGAAATTTTTTTTTTTTTTATTAACTCGTAATCTTTATGCTTTTTTATCTTCTTTATATAATCGCAATTGATCCGCTGGATGCCGTTCGAATCGTTTGAGAGTGGCTCTCGTGAAAGAAATATATACATATTATATATCGTTGGAAAGGTGACAGTCCGAACTGTAAATCAAGCATAAAATAACTTCATTTTGATTTGAGTTGCTTAGTGAAAAGACGCATGGAAGATGGACAACGAAAGAGATCATATGCGTCATATTATGTTATACGAATTCCGCAAAAGAAAACAGTAGGCGCTGCAACTAAAGACATTCGCGAAGTTTATTTGGACCGTGCTCCAGCACTCCGCATAGTAAAGAAATGGTTCGCGAAATTTCGTTCTGGAGATTTTAACCTCGAAGATCAACCTCGCTGTGGACGGCCTTCTGAGCTTGATGACGATGTTCTAAGGACTTTAGTTGCGAATAACTCACGTATTTCGACGGAAGAGGTTGCCAGTGAATTGAACGTCAACAAATCAACTGCGTTTCGTCGTTTAAAAAAGGTTGGGTACACTTTGAAGCTCGATACATGGGTGCAACATCAGTTGAGTGAAAGAAACAAAGTGGACCGTATGTCAACAGCAATTTGTTTGCTTCGACGGATCAAAAACGAACCTTTTTTGGATCGGCTCGTGACTGGTGATGAAAAATGGATCCTGTACAACAATGTTCAATGCAAAAGAACATGGAAACAGGCACGCGAAGGGGCGGAACCGATGTCGAAAGGTGGATTGCATCCGATGAAGGTACTGCCATATACCATTTGGTGGGATATCCGAGGCGTGATCTATTTTGAGCTCTTGCCAGCTGGAGAAACGATCACTGCCTATGAGTATTGTCAGCAATTGGTCGAATTGAAGAAAGCAATTGATGAAAAACGTCTGATTTTGGCCAATCGCAAAGGAGTTCTTTTCCATCATGAAAACGCCAGGCCACATGTTGCAAAACCGACCCTGGCCAAACTGAAGGAGATGAATGGGGAAATCATGCCGCATCCCCCATATTCACCCGACATCGCACCTTCTGATTATCATTTGTTTCGATCGCTGCAGAACAGTTTGAATGGAAAAAAATTTAAAAATGTGGAAGACGTCAAAAATCACCTTGACACCTTTTTCAACGAGAAACCGCGCGATTTCTATGAATCAGGCATCCGTAAATTGGTTGAACGTTGGGAGTGGATTGCCGAACATGATGGCGAATCATAAT